CAGAAGAGCATAATAAATGCATACCCACATACAAGTATTCCAGCTCAACTTCCCCTCCCACGGGAGGGAAGCCAGGCATCTGACCGTCTCCCCGAAAACGTGCCTGTGACCACAGTTCACACCTCAAGAAACAGCAACAGTGCTGCCACTACAATGCCACGGGTCCATCCTTCTGAGAAGCTGACTCAGAAGGTAGGAAGCAGGGAGACAAGCAGGAAGGCAATTCGAGACCCCGAAGAAACTGGAAAGGGCCAGAGCTACTGAATCTTGTCTGGGCCCACTACTCACACCTGCAGCTGGGGTGTTCCAGGTGGGAGTCAAACGGGCTACTGGGGCTTATCTCAAAGCCAAGTTAATCCAAACAGTGATTGGCTGTTAAGAACAGGAGAAAGAGGAGTTCCCAGGTGTCTGTCCTGTCTGACCCACTTTGTGCTGCTGTAACAGAGCATCACACAGAATACATCATTGATACAGAACATGTGTTTTTTACTTTGTCTTAATTATTATCTTATTTTGATAATCTTAAATAGTTGATTAGGACACAAAGGGTCAAGGGCTACAGCAAAGTGAGTAAGATCATTGTCTCCACATTAATACTGTTTTTTTTTTTTTTTTCTGTGTCTGGGTTAAGGGAAGAGATAAAGGGAAAAGCCCTACCCAGCCTCCTACCCATCCCAGGGTCCCAAAGTGGAGTATACTCCAAAATTCAGCTCAAGTGCTTTTGAGAGTTCAACAATTCTGAATTGCTGACAATCTCTCCATTCCAAGCACGATAAAATCTCTCCAGAATCCACTGGCTCACATAGTTCACTTTAAAGTCTCTGTTTGTCCAGGTTTTCACTGCCAACACATGGCTGGGGTAGATGATCAATTCGTTCAGTCCTCCATCCTCTGTTGTGGTACTCAGTGTCCTCTGCAGGTCCCGATGATGTCATGTCCTCCATGTGCACCTAGATATGCTGTCCACTGCTCTGTCAGCCTCTGAACAGGCTCAGCTGTTTTTCTTCTTCTTTTTCTTTTTAATTATATTTACCAGTATATAGTATTCAAGCAAGATTTTACAGAATTTCATGCATTTTAGGAAAATCAAAACAGACTTCTAACTCCAACAAGTCATATATGAACAATTGAAGAGTAGAACAGTCTTAGGCAGGTGCACAGAGAAATCCCTAATAACTTAGCTAGTGAGGAATAACTGAATTCTGCATCCTACCTAGTGAATTCTAGGAAAAGCCAAGTCAGGAGCCTGACCAAAAAGGCAAAGGCTGAGCAATTATAGGCCAGCTGACTTTTACATGTCTGTACAAAGCTTTCTACATTGGTTTCTCTCTGTCTATAGGTGCTAATTTGGGGGCTCCTGAGTGACCTTGACAGTCAGTGCAAGAGGGGATGGAGAGTCAAAGCTGGAACTAAGTAAGGACCGGTGAAAGCTGCTCTCCTGATTCCAGAAGGAAATTAACAGTTCTATCTCTGAGGACCACTTGGGGCTCCTGGCTATTGTTCTGATGTCACCACACCCTATGAGGAGGGTTCTGGGCTACTTCAATCCCATGTGGGAGATCCGATAGCAACTGGCTGACCTGAGAGTCTTGGCCTATAAGGGCACGCAAATTCCCTGTGATCTCCTTGAAAGTCAGGATTTAGTTATATTATCTACATGGGAGTTTGTAAGGTCCCCTCTTAGAATGCAGAAAAGTGTTTATCAGCAGGAGTATTAAAGTCTCCTTGAGGCCAATTTTAAAACTTAAGTGTTAATGGCAAATTTTTAACAGTGTTATCAGATGAAATCCATCTCTCATTGATTATTGATTCATTGGGTACATCACGATATCTTATTGCATGCAGTACGGACAGTTTGAAGGTATAACAATATCACAATTGACAGGTACTGTTATCACATTTGGCATCATTTTATCTTATATTAAGGCAAACATGCGATATCTGACCTTTTGGAATTGGCTCATTTCCCTTAGCATGATACTTTCCTTTGGGCACATTTGGCCACAAAGAAATGCATTTCATTTTTTTTTTTAAATAGCTGAGTAGTATTCCATAGAGTAGATGAAACACAGTTGCCTTATCCAGTCTTCTTTTGATGGGCATTATGGTTGCTTCCAAGTTTTTGCAATTATTGATTGTGCCTCTATGAATGTAGAGGTGCATATTGGTTTCTTGTGTAACAGGTGTTTTGGATATATTGCTAGGAGTGCTATTGCTGGGTCATATGGTATGCAGATTTTCAGTTGTTTGAGTGTTCTCCATACTGATTTGCATAGCGGCTGCACCAGCCTGCATACACACCAGCCTGCATACACACCAGCAGTGGAGCAGGGTTCCCTTTTCCCCACATGCTCAACAGCAAATGTTGTTGGTGTTTATCCATCTGTGAGCCATTCTTACCGACATTAGGTCGGACCTCAGTGATGTTTTTATATGGATTTCCCATATTACCAGAGAGCTTAAGCATTTTTTCATATGTTTGTTTGCCATTTGGATTTGTTCCCTTGTAAAGTGTCTGCCCACTTCCCGTGCCCATTTCTTGACTGGTTTATTTTGTTGTTTTGGTTGTTCTGGAGATCTTTGTCTATTCTGGAGATTAACCTCTTCTCCCATTCTGTGGATTGTTTTTTAATTTTGTTTTGCTTGTTTCTTTTGCTGTGCATAAGCTTCTTAGTTTGATGTAGTCCCATTTGTTTATTTTGCTCTTGGTTGCTATTGCTTTTGGTGATTTTTTTTTAGGAAGTCATGGCCTACACCTAAATCTTGCAAAGTGTTTCCAAAATTTTCTTCCAAACGTTTGGAGGTTTCTGGATGTAGATTTAGGTCTTGTATCCATTTGGATTTGCTCTTTGTATATGATGAAAGGTGTTTGTCTAGTTTCTTATTTCTGCCAATTATTTCAACCAATTATTCCAGCAGCATTTATTGAAGAGACCTTCCTTTTTCCCTGAATTGTCATCTGTTTTCTTGTCAAAGATTATTTAATTTCCTTTTACTCCACTGATCCTCCTCTCTGTCTTTGTGCCAACACCAGGCTGTTCTAATAACCACCCTGTACTATGTCCAAAGCTCTGGGATTGTGATACCCCTACTAGATTTCTATTGTTCAGGATGGTTCTGGATACTTTTGGCTTTTTTGTTTCCAGATGAGCCCTTGTATCATTTTTTCCAGCTCTATGAAGAATGTTCTTGGTAATTTGATTGGGATTGCATTGAATGTTTATATTGCTTTTGGTAGTGTGGACATTTTGATGATAATGATTTTTACCTATCCAAGAACCAGGTGTGTGTATGTGTGTGTGTGGGTTGGGGGAAAAGGGGTTCTGGAGCAACCTAGTTGGTCATTATAGAGACTGGAGGCCCAGAGCTGGAACTAGATAAGGACTGGAGAAGGCTCCTCTCCCATTGTCCCGCAGGAAGTTTATTGTTCTTCTGGTTCTGATGACCGATCGTAGTTCCTGGCTGTTGTTCTGATGTCGTTAGTTCCTATGTGGAAGGACTCGGGCTTCTTCCGTCTCATGTAGCTTGTTGAAAGAGGGGGGATATCTGTCCTCTGGGTTCTCAGCAGCCGGAGGCATTCCAGTTCCCCGTGTTCTCTTTGGCAGTTGTGATGACGTTCTTGGTGTCCGTTCTGATAGACCTTGGTGGGAGTCCAGGAGTCCTTATGGGTTGGATATACACCTCCTCCTGTCCCGCTGTTCCGCTCTGGGGTTCTCCCTTATTCTGTGCATATGACCACCTGTTAATAGATTGTTTGGGTCGTTCCTGATTCCCCCTGTGTGTCATTGTAATTTATGCTATTGTCTAGTGCTGATCTGAATCTATCAACTTTAAATTTACTGTCTTTGGAAATCTTTAGATTGCTTGGTGTCTCCAAAACACTGCAGTTTTGGCAGGGAGCTGTCTGAGAAGCTTTCAGAGAACCAAATAACCCAGGGCTCCCTGGCCGGGTGGCAAGCAGGCAAAGCCTGGTGCCAACTGGCATACTGGCCGCCCGTAGCAGTCCCCTGAGTGACCGTGGGGCTGCTTTGTTTCTTACTGGGTTTAGAAGCAGCTGGGCCTGGGGACCCTGGTGGCCGCATGACGGCAAGCCGTGGAACAACCCCCCCCCCAGGCCTCGATGATGGATTTTATTGAAAGCTTTTTCTGTGTCTCTTGAGACAATCATATGAATTTTGTCCTTCAGTTTTTGGGTGTGGTTTAATGGATTTATGGATTAATGGATCCATGGATTAATGAATTTAAAAATGTTGAACCATCCCTGCATGCCTGGAATGAGTCCTCCTTAATCCAGATGAATGATCTGTCTCATATATTTTTGAATTCTATCATTGGCTAGGATTTTGTTGAGAATCTTAGCATGTATGTTCCTCAGGGAAATGGGCCTGTAATTTTCTTTCTTGGTTAATTCTCTATCCAGTTTTGGAATTAAGGTGGTGTTTGCTTTCTTGAATGTATTTGGAAGGTTGCTTCCTTTTCTATTGTTTTGAAGAGTCTGTAGAGGATTGGGGTCAGATCTGCTTGAAATGCTTTTTATGGCTGTGGTATCTGGTGTTATGTTGCCTTTTTCATCTTTGATGCTATTAAGTTTTGTTTTCTCCTACTTTTTCTTTATCAGTCGGGCCAGTGGGGTGTCTATTTTGCTTATCTTCTCAAAGAACCAGCAATTTGAATCCTTGAATTTGTGGGGTTTTTTTCATCTCTATTTGGTTTATGTCTTCCCTTATTTTGATGATTTCTTGTTTCCTATTGCTTTTAGGGTCATTTTGCTGCTGCTTTTCCAATTTCTGCAGTGTGTGCTTACTTCGTTTATTTGGTGTCTTTCTTGATCCTTGGCATAAGCACCAATTACAATGAACTTACCATGTAGCACTGCCTTGGCAGTGTCCCACAAGTTTTGGTATGTTCTATTTGAGATTTCCATGCTTTCCAGAAAAAATTTTTATCTCATCTTTAATTTGCCATCTTTGATTATCATTTGCATCCTTTTCTTTCTAGCTTTAGCACTCTTCTAAGGAGAAATTAGAGCTTGGTTTAGGCTTGGCATATTCTTCTAATTTGTCTTTGCTATGGAAGTGTTTAACTTCATCCTAGAATACAATGAAGATCTTCGCTGGGTACATTATGCTTGGTTGACATTTGTTTTGTCTCAGAGTCTGAAAGATTTCCTCCATTCTCTCCTTGCTTGGAGAGTCTCTTCTGAGAAGTCAGCAGTGATTATAACTTTTTCTCTAAATGTAATCCTGAATTTTCTTTGTGCTTGTCTCAGAATTCTTTCCTTGTATTCATTGGAGCAGAGCTTGAGAACAAAATGTCTGGGTGCAGTCCTCTTTGGTCATATGTGAGAACAGCCAGGCCTACTGAGGTCTTGGCCACACCTTTGGGTGGGTGGCACCAGCATTGCCCACCCATTTCTTCATTGATTAAGAGACCACCAATGGTGAACTTCTTACCTATAAGTTCCCACACAACAAGGAGGGGTCAGGGAATGCTTAAAATCCCAAGACCCTTCCTCAAACCTTTGGTGTCTCTCTCTCCCCTTTCCAGAAGCACCCCAACCCCTGGCTTTCTCTCCAGAGGTGCTTTCCCTTCCCTCTCCCCTGCTCACCTGGTGCCTTCGCAAATAAACTTTTCTGTCTGCAACAGATTCCCACCTTTTTATTTCTATACTAAGATGAGGGAAGAACCCACTGGGTATTTCTGCTAATAATATCTGTTTGGGGTTCTCTGTCCTTCCTGGATTTGGGTTGGTCTTATGATCCCAGTATTTTGGAGGTTCTCCTGTATAATTTCATTGAGTGCCTCGTGCAATCCTGTCTCTCTTTCCACTCCTTCCAGAAAGCCTATAATTCTGATATTCAACTTTCTCATGATGTCGTTCATCTCTTGCATATTTTTCTTGGCTCTGTTCAGGTTTTCTTCCAGCTGCTGAATGATCTGCATGCTTTCATTTTGGTTGTCTTCTTTTTCTGAATTTTTCTTTGCTGCAGCTTTCATTCTGTTGGTCAGGCTTTGAGCTTTGCATTGTAAGCCAAGAATTTCATTTGAACTCTTTTATTTCTGTGATGATGTGATTTTTGAATTCCTTAAGCTCCTCCCATTGTTCTTCATTGTCTTGGAAGAGTTTCATTGTCGCTGTCCCGCAGTGACGGACTTGGTGCACGGAGCCGATAATAACACGCGTGGACCCTGACTGATGGTCAAAGCCAAAGTTTATTAGGGCATCAGACTTTATACTCTGAAAGTCCGTATTGGGTAAGGGAGGAAATATCGAGCTCATAAACAAAACCATCAACTGTTTTCGCACTCTAGATTGGAATTCCTTTTGTCTTATATATCGCGCTAGGTGTTCTCATTTACATGCTGTTTATACCAAAGGTAGCCATTTGGTTATTGCCATGCAAATACTGTCCAATGAACTGCAAACCTGTGCTCGCTGGCCTTCCAGGCTCACAATGTCCTCCTACATTTCATAATTATTTTTCTTGGTGTTCCCTGTCTGGTAGTTCATCTATATCTTCATCTTGCATCTCTGAAAAGTTTGGTCTTTTGGTCATTTGGAGGGAAGCACTGGCTCCTTCATCTCAGTCATTTCTTCTCCTGTTGCCTCTTCCCCTACCTGTGTGTTGTCTTGTTTCCTTGTGGTATTGGTCTCTGATGCATTATTGGGGTTTTCGGGGTCACTTGTGGCTGATCGATGACCTGGGAGTTGCAAGGGTAAAGTTACTCACACTGTGACCCTCTTAGTGGGTGTATGTGAGAGTTTTTTATTTGTTTATTATTATTTATATATTATTTTTTCAAATTTAGGTGTGAGTTGTAACCTGAAGAGATGTGTTTCTTTTTTTCTTATTTCAAGAGGAAGAGAGACAGAGAGGAAGATCTTTCTCTTTTTAAAAAAATATTTATTTGATTTTTAATTGGAGAGTCAGATATACAAAGAGCAGCAGAGACAGAGAGGGAGATTTCCTGTCTGCTGTTTCATTCCCCAAGGGACTGCAATGGCCAGTGCTGCCCTGATCCAAAGTCAGGAGCCAGGAACTTCCTCCAGGTCTCCCACATGGGTGCAGGGCCCCAAAGGCTTGGGTCTTCCTCGACTGCCTTCCCAGGTCACAAGCAGGGAGCTAGATGGGAAACAGGGCTGATGGGACCAGAACTGGCACCCACACATGATCCTGGAGTTCAAGGCAAAGACTTTAGCCCCTAGACCATTGCACCAGGTCCAAAGAAATATTTTTCTCTCTCTCTAACTGCTGGTCCACTGCTGCCACCTTGTGGGTGACATGAGTTATTGCTCTCCCTGACGTTCTAATACCCTCCCAGATCTAGGAGGATCTGAGAAGCAGGTTTTATAACTTCAGCCTGCCAGTGTCTTGTGTCCCATCCCTCCAGCCAGTAGAGTGCAGCTGGTAGAGTGCAGTCCCACAGACTCACTCACTCCCCTTTTTCCTCACTCTCACAATCTGGGAACCAGGAGATATTGTGTCTCCCTTTCATTTAGTTCCTGTGGTCCACAGAGTTTCACAGATGTGAGATCATTTGGCTGCTGGAGGGTTTCAATTTCGTCCCTAGATTCTCTGACTCCTTTGTTTTACCCTGGGTGCCCACTCGTCGATGGCAGTCCCTCCTCCAACAGTTTTCCCCAGCTCCACCCCTGCAGCACTATGCTCAGTTCAGCCTCCCTTTGCCCCTGTTTTGCCCTGAGGATCTTCTTGCCTTTCTCCCCCTGCAGTGAACAGAAGCCTTTGGGTTTTCCATGTGTCAGAGACTCACAAATTTTGCTCCAGTCTCTGGTTGCCCTGCATGGAACCTGTCTTGACCCTCTCGGATTGCAATTGCAGTCACAGTCTTTCATGTCTGTTTCACAGCTGTGTTCTGCCTGCCTCAGTCCTAGCAACACCCTGGCATTTCTCACAGACTTCCCCGTGATTCTCCTCTATTTGCCCTCTCTCCTGCTGAATCCCATTCCATTTTTTCCACACCCTTTAGATACTTCAGCCTATTGCAGTCAGCCATCTTGTCCATAATCACATCACTGCTTCATTCTCTGAATCTTTCTATCTCTCTCTGAATCTCTGACTATCAGTTAAGTAAAATAATATATTAAAACAGCAACAAAAAGAATGGGCATGCTTTAAGATAATCTTGTGAAACCTGCCATGCAAGGTAAGTTTTTAAGAAGGAAAGGAAGACAGGAGAATAGTAAAATTCATTACCTTGAAAGGGTGATGCGAAAACTCTTGCTGGATGTTCACCCTTCAGGGAATCCCTGTGCACACTGAGCTCTCTCTCCTGTAGGCAGAACTCCCAGCTGTGCTCAACTCCTTTGGGTGTTGTCCTCCCCAGTCTCCCCAGTGCCTCTTCACTCTGCCTCCCTCAATGCTCCCCCACATCCGTGTCCCCTCAGTGCCTCCCTCTGTCCCTCTCTTGACACAGTATCGCCTGTTTCTATTCAACCTCCTATTCCTGTCATCCTGCCTCCATCATCATGCTCCTCACACTCTCATTTCCCTTTTCCTCATCTATGCATTTTATTTTGTTTTAAAACATTTATTTTTTTGAAGGCAGAGTTGCACAGAGAGAGAGAGAGAGAGATTTCCATTCACTGTTTAAGTCCCTCTACAACTGCAACAGCAAGAGCTAGGCCAGTCCAAAGCAGGAGCCAGGAGCTTCCTCCAGGACTCCCACATGGGTACAAAGGCCGAAGCACTTGGGCCATCTTCCACTGCTTTCCCAGGTCATAAGCAGAGAGCTGGAGCAGCATCCAGCACTCAAACTGGCACCCAAACATGGTGACACAGGCAGCAACTTTACCTGCCACACCCAAACACATATACTTCTTAAATGTAAGAAAATACGGTTCAATTTTCATAAAATCACAATTGACTCCCTCACAAAGAAAAACATACATCATCAGTCAGTGATGCTGTAGAACTGTCCCAGAGTACATTTGACAGTGTAAGATAGTCATTCTTCATCAGGACAGATAGTCAAAAATAAATACACTGAGTAAGAGGGGAAATGTGGTTAACATCTTATGGGGTGATAAAACGTTAGGCTTTGGAACACTCTAAAAACACTTGGCACATCAACCAATATAACTCCAAGAATAAACCCATTCAAAATGCAACTTACAACCATCTGACAAAGTACTGCAATAATGATGCTTTAATCCTTGTTTTAGGAGCTAATGAGGTAATTGGTACACTTAGATGTACGGATAACTTTGAGCAAAAAAAAATCATCTGCATGCCTTCCTTTACATTATATCCGGTGTCCATAAGTCATATAGTGTTATAAAGATACAGTGCTAAATACTAAAATGAAAATAGACATGAGACAGCTGAATAGTACCCTATAGCCATTTTAAGGCATATAGCAGCAAGATCTGTATATAAACTAAAATTCAAATGTCAATGAAGTAGTCACAGGATGTGGTTAAGAACTTGCATTTTTTTTAGCATATTGGCTACTCAATACCATGTCAATTAATTCCATAATGTTGTAAATTGTTGTTGATGTTATGTTGTGGCTTTCAATTGATCAGAATGATATTCTGCCAGCTCTGCCTTCAGACCAGAGACGGTCTCCCCAAGAAAATGCTGAAATATACTGGACAATAAGATGCTGGACTCTATGCTCAGTATACTCTTGCAATGAAAGAATCTTGACTGAATTTGAAATATGATACAACAACAAGGTGGAGGAATCCACCATGGGAGAAAGGTACAGACAAGGGTTGGAGAAATCCCACAGCCTATGAAACTGTGTCACATAATGCAATGTAATTAATATTTTAAAAAGAGAATGGGGGATAGTATGACAGCTAATACATAAACATGGAGAGAATACTTAAAACCCAAGCAAGGACCCTGAAGAGTATTGTGTAACATTATTGTTGGCTGAGACATTTTAGTAAATGTGTAAATGGCTTCTTTGTTCTTTCCCTCGCACTGTGGGCCATTCAAAGCCACCTCTTGGCTACACTATAGCTTAGAGGACTGCTCAGTCAGAGTCTAGTCCGAAGACAGAAGCCATTCCAGTCACTTCAGCAGGGAAAATTTTACAAGGAAAATGTGCTAGTTGTCACAAGAAGAAGAAGAAAAAACTCTAAATTATACAGAAGAGTTATATTATGTCTATCAGATTAAGCCACCACTAGGACAACACCAATCTTTACCAGTGTCTGGTTCAGTAACTGGCTACTCTGTTCTGAACCAGCTTCAAGTGGGAACAAATGATAGACAGCACATGATGGCTCAAGTGCTCAGCTCCCTGCCATGCAATGGGAGGTCAAGATGGAGTGACTCACTGCTGGCTTCAGCTCTGACCTAGCCCCACACGTTGCAGTCACTGAGGAATGACCTAGCAGACAAAAATCTCTTTCTCTCTCTCTCTCTTGCTCTATTTCTCACTCCATTTTAAATTTAAAGAGGACAATGAGAACAAATAAATACATATATTTTAAAGGAGTATAATATAAACTCAATCTTTAACAACTTACGTGTAACACCACATAAGTAGGGAGACAGAAATAAAATGATTAACGCAGACATATGTAAAACAGGCAAAAGTAAAATACTCAAACCACTGTGTTAACCAGATGTTGAACCCAAGATGAAATGCATCCATTTGTCCTTGCCCAGATGGCGGCAGCAGGGCTGGATCTGGGCTGGGCCAGTCCGGGGGCATCTAGAAAGGTTGTGCTCCACAGGAGCCACAGGCAGCCTCAGGGTCCAACTAAGGTTGTTTTTTTTTTTTTTTTTTTTTTTTGCCCCCACCCAGATGTCAGGAGCAGTGCTGGCTCTAGGCTGGGTGGCACAGCTAGCAACAGCCCTGGGTACAACCCTCAGGCTGCCCAGGAAGCATGCTCCAGGAACTTGTGCTGAAGCATTTGCAGGGAGATTGAGGAATCACACAGGTAAGGGAGAACAATGATCTGTACATTCATGCCCAGGTGAGAAACAACTTCTGAGAGACATCCCTGGAAGAAAAGCACTGTAATGAAAGTGAGGAATGACTCCTGAAGAACTCCAAACAACACTGTTCTTGCAAGATACTGGACTCTATGCAAGGCACATGCTTGCATTGAAAGATATAAGACTAGATTTGATCTGTAATACTGCAATAAGGTGGAGCAATCCACCATGGGGGGAGGGCAAGAGGAGGGGAAGGAGAAACAACAGACCCTATGAAACATTGTTATAAAATTAACTGCAATATAAAAAAAAAAAAAAACAGTTGTTGCAAGTATGCGAGGGGATTGAGACCTGATGGTTTGAAAGGGAGAGACTAGAAGACCTTTACGGGTCAGCCCACAATGAGTTCTGAGCTGGATATGTTAGCATGGAGCATTGAAGACCAACACACACACCAGCCCACATGTAACCTAGGGCTGGGGGCCTGTCTGGCAGGGCTAGATCCCAGTACAAAAGAGTGAGTGTCAGAACAGTGGATGTGTCACATTGTGCTGGCCCATGACAACTAACAGCACACCGGAAAATCAGGTCCAGGGGCAGACTCTGTAGGGGATATGTGGGCCTAACCCTGTGGAAATACAAGTCCTAATGGGTAGCTTAAGAGTTGGGGAGGTAGGAGCTGAACTAAGTACAACCATGGAGTCTGCCAACACTCACGGGTGCTGGGGCTGGGAAAAGGCTTGCAGGTCGAGGCCACAGCACCCACAAGTGCATCCCTGCCGG